CCTAGATGCTGGGTCAACTTCCTCAGTCCAATTTTTCCTGTCAGCGAATAAGCTCTGGTTAATGTGACATAATGGGGCCTTGACAGAAGGTTACTCTCATTGCCCGTAAGGGTTGCAGCCCTGAATTCTGTGTCTCTGACTTTCCCCCTAGTGAAAACCTTGGAAGTCTTTGCTTTGCGCGACTTGGAGAATGCTGAATCCTCGGGGGTGCCGAGCGCTGATATGGAGCCGATCGCCATTTGCTTCTAGTTCCCACCAGCAGATCCCCGCATGGAACCACGGTCTTGTCTCATCCTCCATTTCCAGGGCTGACTATCCCCCTGCATGTCCAATAAAGCAAACTCAACAGAATTCGTTACCTCTGTGTTTTTTTCCCCTTTCCAAAGAGGGACTCTGCTCTCCCGTGTCTCAGACAGGCTCCCCCCAGCTTACAGACCAGAGTTAATGAAAACGCAAAGTGCAATAACCAGTCACAGGCACTAAATGGCTCCACTTCTGCAAGTTATTATATCACTTCCTGCCATGCCTTGTCCTCCTAGAGAAATCCCTACGCAAACCCCAGACACGTTCCCTGTCTCTGACTCACTTCCAGACCTGAGTGTTCTCCATGGACCAGATCATGAGATCATGAGCAAAGACCATGAGTAAAAGGTGCATGGAAGGGTGATGGCTGTGGGTCGGAGAGCTAAAGGGGGTGCCCTTGAGTAGACCCCAGAGGGAGCAGAGATGCAGGGATGCAGTTAACCCCAGAAATGTGACAAGCCCCACATCACAGAGCCATAGATTCATAGAGCGTAAGGCTATTACATCATCTAGTCTGACGTGCTGTAGAACGCAGGCATTACATTTCACCAGTTACCCCATCTTCCGGAAAGTCACCCAGACTGGATCTCCAGAGATGGAGAATCCACCATTTTTTTTCTTGGAATTTGTTCCAATGGTTTGTCACATTCATCGCTAAAAATGTCCATCTAATTTCTAATTGGAATTTGTATGGCTTTGGTTCCAGCCACTGATTCGTGTTCTGCCTTTCTCTGATCGCATAACAAGCCCTTTAATACCCAGTATTCTCTCCCCTTCAGGGTAGTTACACACAGCAATCAAGTCACCTCTCTGCATTCTTTTCGATAAGCTAAACAGAACGACCTCTTTAAGTCTCTCACTGCTCAGGCATTTCCTCCAGTGCTCGAGTCACACAACGTACAGTCAACCTGTTGAACTCCTTGCCAGGGGATGTTGTGAAGGCCAAGACTATAACAGGGTTCAAAAAAGAACTAGAAAAGTTCGTGGAGGATCGGTCCATCAATGGCTATTAGCCAGGATGGGCAGGGATGATGTCCCTAGCCTCTGTTTGCCAGAAGCTGGGAATAGGCGACAGGGGATGGATCACTTGATGATTCCCTGTTCTGTTCATTCCCTCTGGGGTACCTGGCATTGGCCCCTGTCAGAAGACAGGATACTGGGCTAGGTGAACCTTTGGTCTGACCCATATGGCTGTTCTTATGTTCTTAACTCATATTTGTGGCTCTTTTCTGCACCGCCTCCAATTTTTAAACATCCTTTTCCAAATGTGAACACCACAATTGGAGTCAATCTTCCAGTATTGGTCCCAGGAATCATAGAATTGTAGGGCTGGCAGGGACCTCAAGAGGTCATCTAGTCCAGTCCCCTGCAGGATGAGGTATTATCTAGACCATTCCTGACAGGTGTTTGTCTAACCTGCTCTTAAAAATCTCCAATGATGGAGATTTCACAACCTCTCTAGGCAATTTATTCCAGTGCTTAAGTACCTTGACAGTTAGTAAATTTTTCCTAATGTCCAACCTAAACCGCCCTTGCTTCAATTTAAGCCCATTGCTTCTTGTCCTATCCTCAGAGGTTAAGAAGAACAATTTTTCTCCCTTCTCCTTGTAACAACCTTTTATGTACTTGAAAACTATTATCACGTCTCTTCTCTTTTCCAGACTAAACAAACCCAGTTTTTTCAAGCTTCCCTCATAGGTCATGTTTTCTAGACCCACAATCATTTTTGTTGTTTTTTTCTGGACTTTCTCCAGTTTCAAGACATCTTTTCTGAAATGTGACACCCAGAACTGGACACAATACTCCAGCTGAGGCCTAATCAGCGCAGAGTAGAGCGGAAAAACTACTTCTCGGAAAAACTCTGTCTGATAATACAGACCAGAATGATATTCGGGTTTTTTGCAACAGTGTTACACTGTTGACTCATATTTAGCTTGTGATACACTATGACCCCCAGCAGGGCCAGCTCTAGGATTTTTGCTGCCCCAAGCAAAAACAATTTTGGCCACGCCCCCCCCCCCATTTTTTCTTACCCCACCCCCAGCCCCACCTCAACTCCGCCCCTTCTCCAAATCCCCAGCCCTGCCTCCTCCCCCCAGGCTCTCAAGCCTAGGAGGGAGGGAGGGAGAGGGAGAAGCAGCGCGTGCGCCGCGGCCACTCGGGGTCTCCCCCTCCCTCCCAGGCTCTCAAACCCAATCACCAATCACCCCTACCCTATGTTTTCTCCTGGAAGTGGTGGCTGTGATCCTCCCAGCCTTGGGGGTACATGGCTTCTCCTCCTCCATCTGTGGGGGCGATTCCTCATCGCTCGTTGCCAGGGCAGCAAAATGGCTTTCCATCACCACAGTGGGTGGGTTGGAAGTAGGGATGGAGCACTGCCTGCTGCCAGAAGTAACCAGCTGCCAGTGTCTTCCGTGCGACAGAGCAGGGCCGGCTTTAGGCCGATTCCCCCGATTCCCCAGAATCGGGCCCTGCGGGTAAGAGGGCCCCGCGCCTTAGGCTCACCCGGCGGCAGTCCACTCCGGCGGCATTTCAGCGGCGGGGAAGGGGTCCGCTCCGAGGTCTTCGACGGCATTTCAGCGGTGGGGGGGTCCTTGAGTGCCGCAGAAGATGCGGAGAGGACCCCCCGCCGCCAAGTGCCGCCAAAGACCCAAACCGCCGCCGGGTATTCGAATCGGGCCCCACAGGTCCTAAAGCTGGCCCTGGGCAGAGCCACATCCTCCTCCCCCGGTGGTGTGACAGCAGTCCTCTGTAGCTTGATAGCCTCTTCAGCCTTGGATGTCTCCATATGAATACTCTTGAGGAATTCCTCATGGGCACGGATGTTCCTCCTGTAGCTCTCCCACCTGCTTCCTGAGAGATTCCACCAGCAAGCACCACTCACGCTGGATGGTCCCCCCCAGCCCGGCTTTCTGTGAGTGAGAAATGCAGGCCAGGGTCTCTGCAAATCCACACCAGGATCTGGGTAGAGGCATCCATGGTTAGGTTCTCTGTCTGGATACAGGCACAGGTGGAGGAGACAGGAGCAGCGTTGGCAGTGGCGATGTGGCCCTTCCTAACCATAACAATTATATTACGTCTCCCGCCCACAAACTCCCCTGTTTCCGGTCCCCTGTTCGCTAGCTCCCCTTGGTCGCTTAGCCTCTGGCTTTTAAGGCCCTCTCTCCTAGGTCAGCCCTACCCCCCCCCCCCCGTTAATCACGCAGGGGGAGAGTGATCACAAGGCTGATTGAGGCTGATCAAGGATGATCGAAGGAACAAAGGCTCAAACACAATCCCAATTGACCCAACTGACCCTGTAACTTAACGATCCTGAAAGAGAAAGAAAACCACAAACAGCCAAACAAACTCACTCACCCCGAAGTTAGTCCTCGCACTTTCTTCGTTCAGCAGGAGGATCTCCTTCTCCCCCTCTCAAACTTCCCTGTTCGCTCTGTCATGTACAGCGGTAAAATCACCTCCTGACTCCTACACTGCCTTGCTTCTACAGTCAAAGGATCGCATTAGCCATTTTCGCTGCACCGGCAGCTCATGTTCAGTTGCTTGCCCACTATGAACCCTAGCTCCGTTTCACAGTCTCTGCTTTCCAGGAGACTGTCCCCTATTCTATAGGGCCAGCCTGCAGCCTGTAGACCCAAATGGATAACTTTTCATTGGCTGTAATAAAACCTATTTTGTATGTTACAGAGCATCTTACAGAGCAATCCAGATGGTTGTTTGACGGCCCTGCCCTCATCACTAGATGCCACTCCTCCAAGCTTTGTGTCATCCACAAATTGTATCAGCAGTTCTTTATTTTTCACTTCCAGAGCAGTGATGAAAAAAGTCGAAGACTGCCATGCCTAGCACTGATCCATGCAGAACCTCACTAGAACCACCCTCATTCACTGATTATTTCCTCTTAACAACTACTTGTTGAGGCCTGTGAAATAGGCAGTTAATAATCCATTTAACATGTGCTCTAGTGATATTGTATCATGCTAACTGTATAATGATAATCTATAATGTTTTTAGTCAGCATGTTGTGAGGTACTAAGTAGAAAGTCTACGTCTGTCACATCTGCGCAGACACCTTTATCCGCCAAACATCTGCTCCCTCCTGCCTGAGCCTGAGTGTCCCAAGACCTGTTACAAACAGGCTGGCAGGTGCTTGAACACTAAAGCAGCCGCCGGTGTGTTAGGAACAGGACACGCAGACCCTAGAATGTGCTGGGTTACTGGGGCATGATAGCATAGTCTAGCGTGAGTGATGCATAGCAGCTGTTCTGAGCAAGCAACGGTGCACGGACACATAGACCAAATGTACATGATCTCTCCTCTCTACAATGGTGTACTAAGATTTACCATTTCGGTAGAATTAGCCATGCGTGTGAGAACAATGTAACTTTCCTCACGAATATTTATTGCAATCCCCAAAGTGTTTTCGTAGCTGCCACTTATGAGCGCCCTGTATTGTGAGGTTTATTTGCATTAGGGATGGGGAACGTTCTTCATGCCAACACCTGGGCTCATCTGAAAAGAAGGATTGTCATGCATGAACAAGAGTATTTGTTATTTGTTATTCGGCACACCTGACCTTCCAGCTGGAAAAGTTTTAGCCAACTAATCAGGGAGCAAAATGTACATCTGACTTAGATGATCAATGAGCCATCATGAACAGGAATAGGGAATGACCATTCATTGTACTGGTTTGTAGCCTCAGTGACCATTTCGACAGGGATTTCATAATCCAATTGGAGAGCCCAACCTCTTGTCTATATATATGAGATCTCCTCCCTTGGGCTGCATTGGGAGAGCATCTGCAGAGCTCAGCACTAACAGACTCCAGCAGACCCACAACCCACGTCCACCATGAAGACAGCAGCTGTCGTTGTGTTCCTCGCTCTGGGGCTCTTCTTCAGCTTTCAGGGTGAGTAACTTTTGCTGCAGCCTGTACAGAGCGCTGTGTCTGACCCTCTAACCTTCAGCCGGGGCTCGACTGTTAAAGACCAGCCAAGCACCAGCTGTGGACGTTTGGGTGTCATAAGCGGGGAAGTGGCTCATGGCAGAAACAGCCATTTCCTTTGGAAAGATGTTACTGAGGGGCCATTATGGGCTTTTAACCAAACTCCACTCTGGGAACGCCAAACAATCGCGCCTGCCGTTAATCCTGGGCAATGATGATAGTATTTACGGGTCTGACTGTGGGCGCATTTGTCTCCATGCTTCCCTCAGACATTCCTTTGTGGTTTTCTAGCCTGATTGTAAATCTCCATTCTCACCGGGAGGCTGATTCTCATCTCACACACACTGCTGTGGACCTGCCGGTGAGGGTCATGGAGTTACATTACGGTACAGCTGGGGTTAGTGTAGGGAACCTTCCCATGGTGACATTTGCCAGTGAGGAAGCTGCATGCATTGTCCTACAGAGATGAATGTTCTTAAGTGACTTTCCCGCCAGCATTTCCCTTCATTGTGTCATTTGTGTCTGTGTTTTTGTTCCAGATGCTACTGGTCAGGATGGTAAGGTGAGTCCAACTCTCACTGTTAATTAATTGTTCCCGCCCCCTGGTTTGTAACATCAAGAAGCCCATGATCTCTGGGTTAGAAACATGCAAGGACTCAGGAGTAAATTGGGAGCAGGCTTGAGGGGAGAGTCAATCCCTGGGGGTGAGACGCCATGTGGTCCGAGTGATGGATTCCATCCTTTACTGGACAGGACACCGTCTGTGATGGGCCTCGGGGAGGCACTGGAAGCAACTCAGAGACAGAAGGGGGAGGGGACGGTATCACAAGAGCATGAGGAGTTTTATATTTGAGCATCAGCTCCCTGCGCAGACACCCCTTCTCTCACACTCCTTGTGATGCGGGTTGGGAAGAGTCTCAGGGACCAGGGAGACCGGCAGTGTGGTTGCCCTTTCTTAGCTCCTGCTGGCAGCAAGAGGGGAATTGGGAAATCAGTTCGTCAGAGCTGAGGGGCAGGTTAGATAGTGACAGTGAGCTCTGGGAGGCAGGGACATAGCACACCCAGCACCATGGGACACCAGCAGGGCCCTCATGTAATACAGAGAATGGCATTAATAATAATAATAATAATGAATTAATAACATCAGTCACAGGGTTTCTGCAGTGAGTACAAGAAGCCACCCTCTGTCTGCACCAAGGACTTACACCCGATCTGTGGCACTGATAACAAAACATACAGCAACAAATGCTTCTTTTGCAAAGCAGTCTGGTGAGTACAGGAATAAATGGCCCATTCATAAAAACTAAAACACAATTGTCATGTCACTGTAGCCCCTGCCTGTACCCATCTGTTTTTACCTCCTACAGGCTGGGTCAACTTCCTCAGTCTAATTTTTCCTGTCAGCGAATAAGCTCTGGTTAATTTGACATACTGGGGCCTTGACCGAAGCTTTGCCCTCGTTGCCCATAAGTTTGCAGCCCTGAGTTCTGTGTCTCTGTCTTGCCTTCTAGGGAAAACCTTGGAAGTCTTTGCTTTAAGCAAGAAGGAGAATGCTGAATCCTCGATGGTGCTGAGGGCTGACGTGGAGCGGGACCCTTTCTGCTTTTAGTTTCCGCCAGCAGATCCCCACATGGAGCCACGGACTCTGCCCCTGCCACCATCGCTGACTCTACAGCTGATGTTCAATAAAGTAAACTCAGCCAAATTCTTTACTTCTGTGATTTTTAACCTTCCCTCCCCCCACACACCCAACTCGCTCCCCACATTCCTCCCAAACCCAGGAGCTGCAGAGGCTGTCCATCTCCTTGTTGGTGCACAGGAGACCACCGGGACCCTCTGGCCAGGCTCTGTGGTGCCTTCATGCCCCTGTGCGGCAGACCAACAATCTGCCGACCTGGCTTGGTCCTCAGCAGGAGTATCAGCTGCCTCAATTTGGGGCTGCACTGGGGGGAGTCTTCCTTTGCCCCCAACCTATGAACACGGCGTCCCTGGCTGTCCATTGATAGCACGTCACCACTTCCCCTCCCGCCAGGCCGAGCTGGCCGTCCAAACGAGAGTGACACACCAACGGGCCGGTGCCTGGACTTGAAAGCAGCTGGCACAGCTGTAGGGACTGGGCACCTGGAGCCCAGAATGGGCCGGGTTACTTGGGTATGACAGCAAAGCTGACGCTGCCCGGGATGCCAGGGGGCTGTTGTGAGGACGCAAAGGAGCTCTTGATCCGTATGATTGAACGTAAATAATCTCTCCTCCTCCGCCGTGGGGCAAGACAATGTACAAAGCTTGGTTCTGAGTGATTTCAAACAGACACGTCCAACGTCAAAGTCTGTTCTTAGCCATTTCCTGCCCAGAATAAAAATGCTTCAATTCATCAGATCATTTTGTTTCACAGTTACTAATTGGACCAGCTCTAGCTGGGAGCCTCCTTTTTGAATATCTGTAAGGGTTTTTTTGGGTGGGGGGACGCGACACAATCCATTTAACTAACAAAGTTGGAGCAATTCTTCATCAGGCTTCTAGCTCGTACGTTGTAGCCCCATTTCCGACCCGTCATCTGTTTGTTTCTTTAGACTGTAAACCTCCCAGGGCAGGGCCTGACGCTTTTCTGTGTCTGGTCAGCACCCAGCACAAAGGGGCCAGGTCCAAACGTGGGTGGGTCAGCTATAAAAGACTCGTTTCTGACATCAACTGCAAGTCATTCTTCACACCACGTTGACAGCACAGAGACATTTGGGCCGGGCAAGGGGGCCCACAAAGGCTGACTCAAAGACAAGTGCACTCATGGGGCGGGGGTGGAAGAGGTCTGTGTACAGGGGTAGGCTTGGGTTTGCCCTGATCTTCTCAACCATCCTGGCTGTAGCAACCTCACGGCAGACATGTGGAGGCGTGATGTCGCTTAACACAGGACGCCATGGTACTGGTGTGGGGCGAATTGTCCCAGTTACGATGCGCATGGTTGAGTGCAGTTGTGTGCCAACGTGAGACGAAGGGAGCCAGACCAGAGCACAGAATTCTGCTACAGAGTAACAGAGGGCTAAACCGTATGATTGGAGAGTCTGTGCATTTGCTTCTCCTGCAGTGCCGGCCCATGAGCTTAGAAGGTTGTTACATGGGTAAGACATGTGAAAGATCTATCTAGGGTTATGCCAAGGTAGACTGGGTGGGATTTGTGTTTCAAGCGATGCTCATTGAGACAGCAATTCAGTTCTTGGCTGGCTCTGGCATTATAAAGATGGAAAACGCTCAGAACTCAATGAGCATCGCTTGGTGGTAACTGCCACCGACTGTAGTATTTGGCCATCATCTTCATCAAGTCAGTGTTTAGGGTTTGTCCCTTTTTGTACTAAGCCATTCAAGGTGGACCACAATTGAAATCCAGCCAGCACTGAGAATGTCCTTCCATTTGAGGACTTGTAGCTGTATAACAGGAGCCCAGCTTCCCAACTGGACATTAACACCTTTGATTCAAACTGGATAAGTGGTAGAATGTCGTGTGAACTCAGGGTGCCATGGGGCGACTGGCCCTTTAAGGGGAATCAGGGCCCAGTCTGCCTGTGACTGCCTGCAAGAAAGCTACTTCTCCTCCAGTATCCCCAGGTCAGCCTTCAGCAGGTGGAGACTGCGGGAACTGTGGGATAGCTACCCACAGTGCAACGCTCCGAAAGTCAACGCTAGCCTCGGTACTGTGGAAGCACTCCGCCGACTTAATGCGCTTAGTGGGGACACATACAATCGACTGTATAAAATCAACTTCTATAAAATCGACCTCATTTCGTAGTGTAGACATACCAAGGGACAGGACAATCCTGAGGAGAGGAGCTCCCAGATCACCAGAGCTCCCTGGAGACAGGGAACTGTCTGGAGATCCCACCAGAACAGGGAGCCAAGGAGATGCTCTTGGAGGCAGGAGATTCCCAAGGCAGAGCTGCAGAAAGCAGACATCCAGGAAGGCCTGGGTCTCAGCAAAGGGATCTCTCAGACCGTAGCCGGAAGCCCAATGTGCCGGGAAGCTACTGCCAGGGAGAAGGGACTTCTGGCGAGAAGGGGCTTACAGAGAGAGAAGCAGTTGCAAAGAGAAAGTGTTCCCAGGGAAGGGACAGGAGCAGCTCCAGAGAACGAACTGGGCATGGGGCCTTCCCGGTTGCTATGAGGGACTTAGCAAAGAGTGCCGCGCTGTCAGGGGAAGAGTGGTGCCAGCAGAACGCTCCACAGAAGTCTGATCTCAACACAGGGAATTCGGCCTGAGTGCCCCAGGGCTACGGAGCCAAGACGTAAGACTGATTAACCTGGAGGCAGCGCGTTTTCCAGTGGCGACGCTGACTTCAGGTTCCACTTTTGTGTTGTTCTTTTTGGTTGAATAAATGAGACCCTCCAAAGAGGGAGTTGTTAGTACCAGCAGGCCTGCTTGGACATGTTTATATTCAGGGTGAGGAAATCCAGGCAGGACTCACCCGTAGCATCATGCCTGCCGAGGGGACACCTTAAAGAGTGAGAGAGCGGCTACACGGGGATACTTATGTTGTGAGTTCTTTTAGTTATTACATTCTAGGCATTAACCAATAAATCATGTGCATTGGGACCTCAGTAATGAGTTGTGTTTTCCCAGAATGCAACAGGGCCTCACCCAACCATTGAGGATGGTGGCGGAGGTCACCAGAGCTTATCCACCTTTGGATTGATGAGTAATACCCCATTGTTCTCGCACCTAGGAGGCTTTGGGGGTGGAAATGAACAATCAGTCCGAAGGGATTTGGAACTGGTGGGGAGAGGTGAGGCTGTTGGCCAGCATGTGCTGGACTCGGCTGCGTTTCTACAACAACAAACAGGAACCTTGCCGAGCGTTCCATGGAGCCCAGGACGAAAAGTCCCACAAGCCGTGCCAGTTCATCTGCTCCTCAGCAGAAGGTTCTGGACTCAGTAGATTTATATCAGGTGCAAACCCACCACACCTCAGCTCGGGCACCGACCTACCAGTCTGGCAAAGACAGAGAATCATCTCGATACAGCAATCCCTGGTGAGGCAAAAGGTAAAGAGGGCAAAGTGCATGTGGAGAGGTCCTCCCAGAGGAAACTGGTCATGCTGTCCGGTGTCGGGGTGGCTTTGGGAGGTGATTTTGCAGTTGGGGTGGAGACTCGGCGTGTGTGGGTTCTGCCTCTGAGGCTGATTAAGGGAGCATCTACTGAGCAGAGCGCGAATGGTCTCCACATGGATTGTAGTTACCTCCACCAGGAAGTCAAAAGGGATCTCTGTGCCCCGTGCTCTGGCACTTCTCTCTTGCTGCTTCTCAGGTGAGCGCCCTTTGCAGTAACTGGGCCACAGCCCTTCGCTTTCCACCTCTCGGCTCACCCTTGTGCAGCCTGGACCCTTAGTGGTCCTGCCCACCTTTATGAAGAGAGCTGAGGGGCTGTTTGTTCTGCACGGGCAGCAGAGACTTCAGGGCTCTTTGTATAAGGATTAGCATCAGGGTCCTTTGACAATATTTCCCTCCTTCTCCACACTGCTGCGGAATGTCCTGGGTAACAGCTTCACTGTTTAGGGTGACCAGATGTCCTGTTTTTATAGGGACAGTCCCGATATTTGGGGGGTTTTCTTATATAGGCGCCTATTACCCCCCACCGCCCGTCCCAATTTTTCACACTTGCTGTCTGGTCACCCTACTGTTTTCCCACAGGCTCTGCGCAGGCTTCTTCTTGGAGGCTCAGACTACAAACCCCAGAATGCATCTGGAGGCCGCACATTGTGACCTATGGCAATCAATTAGCACAAAAAGGATGGGTTCAAATGGAACAATTGGCAAACAATTTTGGGCAACATGCCTGTCTACCAGAGAGGATAAATGTGAATGGCCCTGCCCCAGTAGAACCTCTCATACGGGACAGCCCATCTTCCTCTGGTTAATTCAATTCAGATGAGACATTTTATTCTGAAGGGAATAGTCATACTCATCATCTCTCTTTTTTCATCTAGAGCAACTAGAGTCAACATTGGCATAAGGGGTAAACAAGAGTGCAAGCCCAAGGTAAATCCAGGTGTGTTATACGTTACATTTACCTGGCAGGTGTCATCCTGAAGGCTTTACAAACTACTGTATATACACAGAACACCATGGAAATGCAGCTATGGTGACCAGATGTCCTGATTTTATAGGGACAGACCTGATATTCGGGGCTTTGACTTGTACGGGCACCTATTACCCCCCACCCCCCATCCCCGTCCTGATTTTTCACGCTTGCTATATGGTCACTTTAGATGCAGCCATCACTAGGGTGGAGCACAGCGATCGACTTGTGTGTGGAGAGGAGAAGTATTGACCAAGGAAAGACACATGGGAAAATCCTCCTCTTACAAAAGTGTGAGGGGATCTGTAACGCTCACTCAGAGGAGTCGGGCCCTGGCCTGGAAAGTTTGAAAAAATTCCCTTCCAAAATGGAATGTTTTGAAATTTTCCCTTCTGCAGAAAACTTCCCATTTCCAGCTGTTCGTTCTGATTGGGAACAAATTCTGGGGGAGAAATGTGACCTTTCTGTGGGCCAGAAATTCCAGTTCCCAGAAGCTCTAGCACGACACCTTCCACTCCACTGAAAAGAGCTCTACACTCAAAATCTTCGTGCAGCCACCTGGTGCGGCTAATAGTTAC